CCTGGCACCATGTATTTTCAAGTTTTGCTCCTGATGTGTTCTGACTGGCCAGCAAGTTGCACTACTGACAGACTAGATCATAATGGCGCTATTTGCTTTCATTATAATCACGTTTCTGTCCGTAATGTTGAGGTCCATCCTTGGTAGCGCTTTAATGGGAAGCTCATTTTGTTCATCAGATTCAAGGGCTTCAAGGCACAACGCTCTCTGTGCTCGCAGCATCCTCCCAATAAAACTGGCCCGATTTTAGGAGGCACGTTTATGGTCCTCAATAACCCAAAGTCTTAATAAAAACGAAAGCTGACATGGTCATGTGGACTCCTCCAGTGTGGGCCCTCCGTCTTTAATGTATGAGGCATTCCATTAAAAGGGGAACACTTCCTCACAAGCAGAGCTTTTAGGCTGATTAGTTACAGGAATAGAAAAAAAAACAGCAACGACCTTCACCGACACTGGTGGTAGCCCACCCCTCCCCCATGCCCTGTGCTGCACATACATCTAAAACTCCGGGTGCTTAATATTCCAGAGGCGTGCGGCGGAGCCATCTCTCATTCGACATCATAATTATTATTAGGAGAGAGGAAGAAAAAGCCGAATCTCCATGTTCAATTAGAGCAGGCGCCGATGCCAAATAGATAGTAACACATGAGATTGGCTAATGTCCTTTAGAACTCTCTCTCTCCATTCTCTGCCTGTGTCTCCCGCTCTCTATTGATGTCCGAGAGATGGAGAAAAACGGAAAGGAACGAGACAAAATCTCCTCAGCGGGAATGCAACTGTTGAATCCCATTAAAGCAGTAGGTCACGGGCACTCCAGCTACCCTGGGACTCGGTCTCCGGCTCTAATGACAGTTTTTTCTCCGACTCCCCTTGACGGTGCTGTGAAAATCCTTGTGAGCGTGCAGTCACCAGATCGAACCCGGAGCTTTGTGCTTTCCTCTGTCTCTTGTTTGCCTCACTCTCCATGGGAAGAGTCTCCATACACATCAAAGAAGTGAGCCAGTTGATGGTGGAGGGTGGACAGGGGAGCGTGCATACTATCCATCCCACAGACTGGCGCCTGGTGGGTGGGCAGCCTCCCCTGGTGGTGGTGGTGGTAGGTGGAATGGGTTGATATATGTGGTCACCCGGTTCCTGGCCCGCTACACGCCCAGCTGGGGCGATCTGGGTGGGTGGAAGCAGCAGGCAACCTGTGCAGAGGAGCCAGGCTGCAGGGAGGAGGCAGGTCACAGTGGCCTCATTAACACCATCCCACACACATACACTTGCCAAGCAAGCAGCGCACTCAATCTCACACACCACACCGCTCTGTGGGACTGGACCTGAAACTGTGTGTCTGATCTGACCTGTGGTATTTGGGCTGATGGGATTCAGGTGATAGGGCCTTCATTGCACCGGGGCGAAAGTAAATCTGGATGGTTCTTGCTCTGTGGGTGGTTTTGACACCTTTACCAGGCTGTTTTGTTATGTGTGTGTGGTGGAGCTTAGCTAGTTTGTCGGAGAATCTTCAACAGGGTTGCTTAATCCTGGTCCTGGAGATCTACCACCATGGAGAGGTCAGATCCAACACACCTGGCTCTGACCGTCAGATGCTCCTGAAGGCCTTCATTACCTGGATCAGGTGTTTTAGACCAAGGTTGGAACTCTTCAGGGTGGTAGATCTCCAGGACCAGGATTGAGCACCTCTGATCTACAGCATATCTCAGCTAACAAGAACACAGATTGAACTGTTGGACAGTATTAACTCATATAATCATACCACCATGCAATTCAGTGTTTAATGAAGAACCATCACTTTATAAGCATGTTTTTAAACTGCACTGCACAACAAAGGCCAATAGAACTTACGGTTCTACATCTAGTTCATTTTTCACTTGTGCGAGAGACACTTGGAACCGTCATAATTACTGTAATCAACAATTTAATGTCTCATTATTCATTTTAAGCCACTCTAAACCATCTAATTTGGCAGATTAGTGATGTTTCTTCCTAGTTAGCTTAAGTTACTGGTTGATATGAAACACGAAAATATGAGCTTATATTTTTCTCATCAACAAAAAAAAGTCCTTCTGTGGAGGCTAGCCTAAATGCTAACAGTGTTAGCTTCCTAAATTTGTGTCACCTTATAGTGAACTCAAAGTGATTATTCTAAAAATAGCAATTAACACATCAACATACTGTTATAGTTCACATTCTGGTAAAACAATAGTGTTTAGTGACTTTATCTTCACCTGGAGGAGTAAAAAAGGCTGAATTGTCACTGGCTTCAGCTGCAAGTCATACCAAAGACAGAAGATCCCAACACTACCTAGCAAAAACTTAAGTATAAGCCATGCACTTGGGTACATTTGACATTATAGCCTCAAAAACAAGATTTTACCATTACTGCCAATGTTTATTCATCTATTTGTAGCTTCCATGCTGCCTGGATGTGAGTTATCCACCAAGTATAACCAAACTTTATGCTTACAAAGACTCTGACTTAGTCTATAGAGGACTCAAGTAGTTCAACCCTTGCTATGTGTTTTGTATTTACATGTTGCTATCAGTAAAGGCATAGTCAGCTATGAGCCTCACCACTAAATCATTACCACTCAGTAGAATCCAGAGGAATAAGCAGAATGCATACAACCCACTATATCATGCCAATCTGGACCAAAGACGTGTCATTTTGAAGGGTTAATTGCTATAATTGCTTAAGTGCAGTCTGTAAACTGCAGAGATCAAATGTAAACAGTAATCTAATGCAAACAGAGTGACAGTGGCTTCTTGTTTGGAGTAATAACCTCATTTCATCTCACTTATAACAGCTTTCGTCCAATCTTCCATCCTAGCTAAGTAAGCACAGGTTCATGTTGTTACATTTAAGCCCTGGTGGTCTGGCAATTAGATGTGACACCACTGACACAATAAGCATGCATTTCCAACTCAGCTAACTAGTGCAGATTTGATTCTGATTCACTGGCAATTATCGCATAATCAAGACATGTAGGTTGAAAACTGATGTCTGTCAACCTTCTTTACATAAACGATTGTATGATCACGACAACTTTCTCTGGCTATACTTGTTGCTGATAGACAAATGCTCCAAATAGCACAATGAAAGTGGCCGCCATCTGAGTCATTTATCAAAACTAATTTGTACAGAGCTGTCAATCAAGATCTTTTCTAATTCAGTTATCCTTCCCAAACAATATTATATCCTTCCCTGTGAAATACCACATACAATCCACACACAGGAGCAACGCTGAATCTATTGTGCAGAACAACACAGTCAAAGTCTTTATAGCGCAGCATACAGGATGCCCAGTCATGCAGTCCCTTATTGTGCTGGTCTATATTGGCAAACCCCACTAGAACTCAGGCACTATTACTCGCAAGTGCCAGAGCTATAGGCACGGCCGAACTGCGTTTCGGAAGGGCAGCTAGTGCACGCTACAGCGTTCGCTCGGTATTCCCCTCAGCTGCTGCGGCGCGGTTTGGCAGGCCACTTCACTCCCCGTCCTTCATTTGATGACTAAAATCGCAGCTTTGAGAACGATTGTGGGGATGGCTGATTGATATTGGTAGCACTCGCCACGAGAGCCCTTTTCACGATAGAAGGCTTCCTGTTTCAATTTCCGCGGATCTCGCAAGTTTATAAGACCCTTCTTTTTTATCTCATCAAACCAAGTAGGGCATACATTTCTATTCAGGGGAAATATCAGCATCAGTAATATCCAATTTACTGAGAAGGGTGAGAGCTGGTTGATGTGGCAGTATAATAACACGCTACATGAAGCGTGGCATTATGGAGTATGAATAAAAAAAAAATGCATTCATGGTTTGAAAAAAAAAAATCAATCCAAAAGCAGTCATCATTCATCTAAGAAAATCTAGGCAATTAGTAACACTTTGATGCGAATTGGAGAGGGGGAACGCACAAAACCCCTCATATTAGGAAACTCCCAAAATGACCTCATCTCAGCTCAAGCCTCTCTGAGCTCATAATAGAGAAAGGCCAGGCACAAATTTCAATCCATGCAAAGAGCGTGGGAATTACTTGGGTCGTCTATACAATGGCCGTCGGCGAATCACTTGATGCAAGGTCAAGTGCTAGTTCTCTGAACATGCACAATGGAGGACCACCAAGGCCTTTTCAAATGTGCTTTGTACTGTTGCTTGCTGTCTTACAATCTCTGGCTTTTGTGCAATTTGGATTGTACCAGCTTTTACGCTGGTTTTCAATGTATACTGCCTAGATTTCACGCAGTTTAAGTTAGAGAAACTATCACTCACGCAAATCTAATGCATGCCGGCTGAGCACGCTGCATTATATATGAGCCCACTGTGTGTATTCCTCACTGCTCACCACTCATATGTGACACCTAACCATAAGAAAGTTTCTCCAAAACAAATCTCCACAGTTAAGCATCAGTTTAGAAAGCGCTTGATGTGAAACACTTGCCAGCATTTAGATTACACCCAGTTAAACCTTCCAAGGCACAATCTTTAGATTTACATTAGACACAAAGAAGCGCTTTGACTGTCATAATGATGTATACAACCTTGGTGAGGTCGGTGAAAAACTGCCACTGCTTTATGGCCGCATAAATACATAACAACGTGTGTTAATTTTCACAGTCTGCTCGCAATTCGCAGCCAGCGGAAGGTCCATCATAGCTGGCATCGGTTAAAAGCACTTTGGCAGCGTTTTATACCGAATCGCAAACAGGCAGCTGTCAGCGTGTTGAAAAACAGCACATCTGAGCATGCATGTCATTAATGTTGCCCATTATGAATTTACCGCACACTTGGTAAACAGCTCCAGCAAACAGCACGCTAAGCAGGCTAACACTTGACAAATGAGAAATGCTGAAAACTGACGCTGGCACTCATATCATGTTCTTTTGCTTTTTAACTTTTATATTTAAAACAAATGGGACGTTGATGGACGAATAAGGTTCTGCTTGTAAGTCAGTTCTTTCTGGCTTTCTGAGAGAAACTAAATGTTCTTTTACCTTCCGAATGGTGGGACAGGGTGAGCAGGCTCACGCAAGAGGCGCCGATGCCTGATCCAAAAACGGTGATGCGGTTGGAATCGCCGCCGAAGTAGCCAATGTTTTCGCTGATCCAGCGCAAGGCCTGGATCTGGTCCAGCAGGCCGTAATTTCCTTTAGCAGCCTGGTCACCTGTGCTCAGGAACCCTGGAACGAAAACAAGAGACCCTTACTGAAAAGGTAAAGGAGCTTGGGATTGTACAAGAGGCATTATGAGTCATTCCAGTTTTGGACAACTTCCTCTGAAGTTCCCTCCTGTGCAGCGGATAAAAATGGAAACAACTCTGACAGTTAAGTTGAACAAGAGTTTAATATTTCCACCCCTTTAAAACTGGGAAACTGGTTGGAAAACTCAGCAAACTGTGCTGGACTCTCAGCTCCCTATACCTGTTTTAAAACACTACAGATATCTGAATCATTATAGAGACTAAAGTGAAAAGAACGGCTGATTTACACTCTTAAAAGCAGTTCTTACAGGGTTCTTTAACAAAGGCAATGGCTATCTATAGAACTGTGAACAATGGTTCCTTGCATTGTTCTTTGCATGGTTCTTCTCTGTGATGGAAAACTTGTTATATGTGGTACTTTAAATAACCAATGGCTCTACATAGCACCAAAAAGGTCCCATTGTTACAAATAATGGAACCTTTCTAGGGTACTATGCAGAACCTTTTCACAAAGAGTGTAGGGGTATTATATAGTGTTGAGGACGAAGGACAAAATAGGTAAGTTATCAGGGACTAAAAAACACATACATCTGCTTTTATTCAGAGCTGTTGTTAGTTGAACTGAACATATTAAAACAATTCAGTTGTGATCATTACTTTAAGAGCTAGACCTTCAGTTAGAGCGATAAATGTCAGAACCTGGTCAAAAACAAGGAAAAACACACCTTTGTGATGATGCTAATTTCATCCCAATTGGTTTTTAGTAGTATGTTAGCACTAAGCTAATTGCGATTCACATCTTTTGGCCATTCTGGGTAAAATAAAGACATTTGAAGCTTGTGAAACACATTCAACGCTTTATTTGTAGCTTGTAAGAAGCATATTAATATCATATTTTACCTCGTAGCTGTTTTACAGTGACTCCATTAAGAAACTCTGGCACAGACCTGCCGCTGTTCTCCATTTCTAACTACTGACTGAAACACACTGGTAGGCTACCATTTGCAGTCAGTGAGTCTTTGGCTTCCAGGAGGCCTAAAGTGACATTTTTTCCAGCAAAACTGGTCCCAGTTTTCCCCCATGGGAAATCAAAATGTCATTGGCTGATCACTTCCTAATTACATCAGTGGTTAATATAAAACCTTAGGCCTTCACTTCAGCTCCTGAAGGCCTAACCAATGGGAGACAGCGTGGCTGTATCTACCTTGGTACCATTGAAAAAAAATTCCTGAATGGATAATTTTTTGTGGGTCATTTCAAGAATCTTTTTGATTCCAAGCAAACTTTAACAATGACGTAAGAGTATTACTAAAATACTAGCAGTGTTTAAATACAAGCATAATAATTATTATATTAAATCAAAAATGAATTAAATATTTATTCTTCTATTTCACAAACATCAAGACCTAGATGGCCCAGAGGGTTCACTGTAAAAGCATATAGCATGACAGTGAACTGCATTTCTAGGCCACCTAACAGTGGAAATGAGAATACTACAAAATAATAAAACCTGTCTACACCTATAATCACAGTAAACAGTTAAACAGACTTAACACCAAGGCGTTGTCAGGGGGGAGCCAAGGGGGGACACGGCCACCTTGATACAGTCACTGCCCCCCAGTGCCCCCCCGGCAAGTCATATTGGCATTATATGCTGCATAATATGCTTCTATCTGATATATTACATTAGCTACTAGGGCTGTCAACAAATATTGCAAATTTGATAATATAACAGAATAAAACAGACATTCGACTGTGCAAATTTATTTGATTGTGGAAAAAAGCAGCATTGGGCCTGAATCCACTGCATGCCTGACAGGAGTCACACAACACGTCATGATTTAAAATGAAATTAGTTAATTTAGGTCCAGCTGAAATGAGCGAATCATTTAACAACGACCATGTAGTAATGATGGCAGTGAGTTCACAACCCAACCCGGCGGCACAGGAAGGGATTTGCACTCCGAGCAATCTAAAAAATCCCGTTTGGAAAATCTTAAACTTGGAGCAGAACTTAAAGGTCAGTAGATGGCAAAATTGTGGAGATATAGTTGTATGCAAGCTATGTAAGCTACAGTCAGCCTATCATTCCAGCTCTAGAAACCTGAGGTCACATCTTGAAAACGTGCACCCAAATGCATTCAATTCAGTTCCTCAAACTCACCTTCCCCCTGATAAATCATGGTCGTGGGTGCGCATACATGCAGCACTGAGACAATAGAAAATGAAAAGAGTGAAAAAAGTCTTACGCCTCAATTTAATAATCCCAATCGGTGGCAAAGCGAAGATTTACACTTGTCTTGAACATTTTTTACTTTACATAGTTGCAGTGTTGTTTGGTGCTGATTTCTTCCCAGTGAATGCAGCTCCTAGGGACTTAATTTGCAAAGGGGAGCATGAATTTGAGGGGGACCTGAATCTGATGCAACGTTCTTGTTGGATTGGTTTGCCCTCTTAAGGACATAATGTGCAAAAACACATTAAAATGGTTCAAAACTTCGTTTTTTTTAAATGAATAATCAAATATAATTTATGGCCAATTTTGACGGTCCTAGTGCACATCAGATAATAAGTAACATTAACTGTGATATAAGAAACTATATAATAAAATAAGAAGAAGTATATCAGTATGCAGTGGGTAGCGCTGTTGCCTCACAGCAAAAGGGGTCTGGGTTCGATCCCCTGGCCGGGTAACCAGGGTCCTGTTCTCCCTGTGTCTGCGTAGGTTTCCTCCGGGTGCAGTCCAACGACATGCAGTCAGGCCAACTGAACGCACTAAATTGCCCCTAGGTGTGAATATCTGTGTGTCTGCCCTGCTATGGACTGGCGACCTGTCCAGGGTGTATCCTGCCTTCTGCCCAACGACTACTGGGATAGGCTCCAGCTCCCCCCATGGCCCAGAAGCATAAGTGAGTGTGTATATACTACAACAGCATAACACAGTTCCCTATGGCTGTTGATTTTGGTGTGCCTCCTTAAGATTTTCAGTGGCCCCATCTGGCCACCCCTATGAAGTATTTCTTCGGGCTTCACTGCTTAACACAGAACACAGTGTACCTTATTATGGACAGATACTACAGAATGTACTTGAGGAAAAACACATGAACCAGTCAATGTACCAAACGGCTGTCTTACAAGAGTTGATATATGGCTGCGCAATGAAATCTCGAAAGCTCTCCAACACTCAGCGGATTATAGGAAAACAATACCAACCTAAACTAGGTAATCTCATTTAATCAAACGTATTGACTCACAGGAATAAGATTTACATACATTTCGACATGAAAGGTTTAAGGAGGCCATTTCACACAGCTCCTCAAAACTCCTGCCAACGAAAGCCTCTGACAGAACAAAGGAGCCGCCTACCAGACCATTTCCATCTAAACAGAGCAGTTTATCAATGCAGTTTATCATTCACTGGACTGAAGACACTGGCTGAGGACAGACAGCAGGTTCAATAGCGCCTGACTTTCACCGGACATCTGTGGAAATGAAATGAAATTTCCGGAGCTGAAATAAATGATGTGCTGGGGCTCCGAGAGCAAGGCAGACTCCTTCAGGTGCAGGGATACCAAGTGACACATTTATAGCACCATTGATCTACATGTCACTCCCCAGGAGAGCCCTTATTAATACAGATGATGATGAAATTTTTGTTTCTTAATACATAGGGGGTCAGCCGTTTTATCCGAATTGCTGCTTTCAGCATTCTGACACAGGATGGTTAGCTTTGACAGGGAAGCGTCTCCTGGGGAAGGCTTCAAATTGTAGGGCTGGTGTTAACATGTCTAACAGAGATGGAGTGTGTGTGTATGTGTGTGTGTTTCCACAAGCCAGGGACGCATGAATGATGAGTAATATGAGAGAGATTCGCAGTTCAAATGCACACCATTCCCCACTGCGGGCTCAATGTCTGTCAAGCACGCAAGCACAATGCGCGGAATTGACAGCTAGGAAGAGCCTGGAACGTTCAGACCAAGGAGGTATGGCAGTGCACAAAACAGAAAGGAATTCTGTTTTTCCCCCTGAGGAAAAGAGGGAAGGGGAGAAGAAGTGGGGGGCTCGACATCCCCTTCTCTGCATCCATTTTTCTGAGCTTTTATCAGGAGCAAATCAATTAAACAGCATGAAATTTATTAGCATATCAAATAGAGCTTCACTTTTTTTTTTACGCATTCTTCCAGCACGGTGGGAACGTGCTAACCTTAAAAAATAAATAAATAAAGGTGGAGAAAACCTTCTTTGCACATCTCAAGGGCATTGTCAGGCTTTTTGCATTTCATAATGCCACTTTTTACTGTTGTGGATTTTTCATGCTGCTTTTCTGCCTCACTTGAAATAAATTTCCCCCTCAATATTTGTGTGAAACGCCATTCCTTTCCTCCCATATTTAATGCCACGCACAGCAGAGCACGAATCTTTAATCTCGCCCCCCCTGTTCTTATCCCACCATCTCTCGGGAGCTTGTTAGACACACTAGGAGTCGAAGATCAACCGAATAAGGTCATATGGAAACGTGTGTGCAGACTGGAATAGAATGAATTCAACCACTGATCAATAAAAGTGGTTGTTAAAGATAGGAAAACTGCGACGGAGTCCGCCTGCGGTGGGCCATGCCAGGCTAAGAGGGTCCTGAGTGGTGCAACTGTCCAAAGTAGCTTTTACACTGGACTTTTGTTTCATCATTTTCTTTGCCAGGTTGGAGTCAATATCAAGCGATTATGGCCAATGCGATTTTAATAGGAATGTGGTGATTTAGTAAACAGCTAACATTAGCTATCTTGTTAGTTTGGTTGTAGCAATAGTGAGTGACAAGCGCCATTTCATTGACAATTAGAGACATTAAAAAGGAGCAGAGAGGTCACAGTTGGAAAATGAATGGGACAGCTTGTAGTGCTCAACATGGCGTCAGTTTACAAGGAAAGCAGCCAGCACAAGCTGAGTGATTTCAACTAAACACCACAAACTATTTATGCTGTT